GATCACCCTATTTTTGTACATGAATACATGTAGACTGTTGTACATATATAAGTGTGGATTGTTGTACATTAACAAAAAAAAAAAATAAGACCTACCCCGAAAATAAGACCTTGTGTGTTTTTTTGAGCCAAAAAAAAATATAAGACAGTGTCTTATTTTCGGTATATGCAAAAACGTAAAAAAAAAAAAAAACCTTTTCAAACATGTTTAAACTTACCTGTGCCTCGCCGTGAGCTCCCGTCCGAGCATCTGAAGAGTCTCGGGCGGCCGCAGGATCATGGGGCGGGTTCAGATGTTTGGCCGGGAGACGAAGGGAGACACAAGGTAAGTCTATGGAGCAACATGCACCCGCAAAGACACCGTGGGACAGGAAGTGCCAGCTAACACAGAGGAGTCAGCGCTGGATCAGAGACTGGCACCAGTGCTGGAGGGACTCCTGAAAACTATACTAAAGAAGAAGATCAGATTAAGAGACATCATTTAAGGTAAGTCCTTACATTAGCATTGGGGGAGGGGGACTTTTGACTTTAATGTCACTTTAACTGTTGTTTTTTTTCCACTTTTTTGCAATTTGTGTCTTTCTGTAATAAAAGTAATAAAAGGAGGTATGTCTTGCTCTGCCATGCCTGAATGTTTGTAGAGACACACACAGCTTTCTAGCACACACAAGGGTGGCTCGATAGGACCCTGCAACGTAAAGGAGCCACCCTACAAAAGAATATCATGTCCAGTGCTCGGGGGCAGCTGATTCTGCAGGAAACTAAAACTTTTAAACATTAAGGAGCAGTATTCATTGTAAGTTGTTTCATCAGCATTTAAAATAGCTGAACGACCTTTTGACATTAATATGACTTTAAAGCCTAATGCACCCTTAAATCATCTTTACTTAGTCCCACTCATGTCTCAACAAACACCTATGCGAGTATAACCCTCGCTTATACCTGGATAAAGGAGTTACAATATCCGTTCTACCCATTGGTACCACTGCAGATAAATTGTGATATTAAAGTATGTCTGAAGCCAAAGCTTTTTCCCCCCCATTTGGATAGAGCAGGGTAAGGTTAAAACCACAGGTCTGTTTTTTTTTTTTACATCTTTGTCCCATTAGGGATTTCCTGTCCTGCAGACAGACTGAACAGGAAGTTAAAGGATACATTTCTGTTATTAAAGTGTCCCCATTGGGCAATTTTCCCTCTAATGCTGTTCTGGAGTTCATAGAATTTTGGATTTACACCCTAATTTAATTTCTGACAAAACAGAAAATCCCCCTATATGACAGCACAATAGTGGTGACAGGTTCTCTTTGCATCCCAAAGAAGCAGATTGTGCTTGATCAGTTATTTTCCTGCCCACAGCAGCCAGAGAATGATCGCTCTGAGCCAGGAAGTGACAAAATCATTGTCCTTTCTGGGTTCATTCCATGGATAGGAGATTTGCGAATGTACATTTGCTGGTCTCCCTCTTCTCTTGCAGCCCACACACACCATGCTGCTCCTGAGGATGCTGGAGGGGTAGCAGAGCCCAGGATACATGGCGTGTAGGGGTGGAGGATGCTTATCTGACAGCCTGTGGAAGTGATCAGGTGCCTTTATAGTGCAAGTACAGACAAAAACATGTTGATCTGCCAGAAATCAAGTTTCAGCTCCTATCCTAACCTCCAGTGTGAACTGACAACACTGCCAGGGTACCAAAGCGAGCAGATTATTGGCCGCTTCCTCTGGTCAGCCTAGAATCTTCTGACATTCTCCTTCAATCAGCTGATAGAGGGATGCTGGTCAGAAAGACGTCGACAGCAGCACCCACGCTTAGAATTTCGGCTGGTTCATCAAGAACTGCTCGAAATTTCAAAGCGTGAATTAAGTAATGTGTAAGTGTAACACTTACAGATATTTATTACCTCTCACAGATCATAGTACTCCTGTCAATTACTTCACCTGCTTTTCCCTTGTCGTGGATGACACCATTTTTCTTCAGTGATTAACCAGGGTCAGTATCCACTTACTGAGATAATAGTATCGGGGTGACAGTCATATAAATCCTGGAATCTGTGCCGTTTTTGTTCACACGTAGGGTTGCCACCCGTCCGGTTTTCAACCGGACAGTCCGGGTTTGGCGTCTTGTGTACGGGTGTCCAGCCAGCGGGCACCCGTACACAAGACACTCTGCTGACACCGGCACAAAATTGCCGCGTGCGGCGCTAGAGTGTTCGGGTTTCACTTGAAGAAAAGGTGGCAACCCTATTCACACGTCTGACACAGATCAGCGCCCGGTACAGCCTCTCATCTTGTAATTTGTTACAAAAGTTACATTGTTGCAGTCTTGGGGAGAGGAGGCTGAGAAAATGTTTCCTTCAGCCTGCAACAGACTGATGACATAATCTCACTTGTCTAGATAACATGGACAGCTTTTTAATGATAAAATGTACAGGTCTTAAAAAATGATAAAATGGCAATATCAGCAAAGTATTAATGCGGACCTTTACACTCACAAATCTAATTTTACCAATGCATCCCTCTATGTCTGATGATTAATAATAACATAGACATGTCAGGTGTAAAATGTTGTGAAATTTGAAATACTTACACTTGCAGAGCATTCACTTCCTGCTTTGAAAGTGCAAATGACTTCAGTTTGCCAACGCAATGCACACTGGGATTGCCTTGTCATCAGCAGAGCATTGCTGGGAAATGTCATCACAGGGAAAGTCATTTTCCTCCCCTGAAATGATGTGCATGCTCACATGTCCTAGAAATCCAGGAAGTAAAAGGAGAGCTATTATCGGCCCTTAGTAAACATGGCCACTGTCAGAAGATTGGAGAATAGAGAAATAATGTATGCAAAGCCAGCAATTATCTAGAAGTATGTGTTTGTAGATTGTCATTACTAAACATTTCTAAAGGTGCCTTTGTTGTTATTTTAAAGCTATGGGTAAAGGTCCACTTTAGGTGTCTGGCAACATACAATACTTGCAAGGAAAACTCCAGTATAAACTGATTTATTGAAGCCAAGGGTTTTTATGCTAAAAATGTTTGATTCTGTTTTCGTGTTATAGTATAACTGGAGCCTAAACTGTTTTTCTAGTTTTAGAGAGTGAAGAGTGATTAGAGCATCTGTTTTTATTGCCATCTGTTCCCCCATTCACCCTCTCTATTTGTCCTGGTGACCGTCTTCACTGAAAGGGAAAGTAATAGATGGGAAATCAAAAGGGGACACCACCAGGGATTTCCCTCACTTTGGAGGGATTTCCCCTCCCTTCCTGTTGTGGCTATCAGATAGGAAGTGAAGGGAAATCTCTCCAATGGGAAAGAGATGGCAAAAACAAAAGCCGATTATAGGTGGTTATAGGGATGTCCCGATACCGATACAAGCATCGATATCGGGACCAATACAGGGCATTTTGACAAGTACTTGTCAAAATGCCCCGATACATAGCGCCGAAGCTTGTGCTGTTTTTTTTTTCCTTTACCTGCCCCGCCGAGCATCGCGTCACTGCTGCTCCGGTGGCTGGCGCTCCAGGTGGGGGTCCTATTATAGGTGGCTGGTCCTCTGGGCAGTCGCCGGCCATCTAAATTAGGACCCCACCTGGAGCACCGCCCACCAGAGCAGTGACGCGACGTCCTCATGTGTGAGGAAAATCGTTCGGCAACAGTAAGTGAGACGGGGCCTGGGCTTAGTGTTTTGTGTGAACAAGAATATATTGCTGCAGTGTATTGGGAATATGTACTGTACATGTACAGTACATATTCCCAATACACTGCAGCATTAGATTTACAATTATCCTCTGCTAATCTGAATGGATTAAATGATCCATAGTACATAATATGTACATAACATGAGGTTGTACTACGGATCATTTAACCCATTCATATTAGCAGGGGATAATTGTAAATCTATTGCTGCAGTGCATTCTATATGTAGCACATGTACAGTACATATAGAATGCACTGCAGCAGTAGATTTACAATTCTGACCTGCTAACATGAATAGGTTAAATGATCCGTAGTACAACTACATGTTATGTACACGTACTTTTAAGAATGAGAACACACAGGGACCTATACATACGCACACATCAGTAGGACCATACACACAATAGGTTGGACTTGATGGACATATGTCTTTATTCAACCTCAAATACTATGTAACTATGTACTATGGATCATGATTTAACCTATTCATGTTAGCAGGGGAGAATTGTAACTCTATTACTGCAGTGCACTGGACGTTATGTGCTGAATATGTACTATGGATCATGATTTAAACTATTCATGTTAGCAGGGCAGAATTGTGAGCGCCTACCACAAGCTGAGCACCGAGATGCGATGCAGCGATCCTGCCCAGCGCCGACTACAAGAGGCACAGCGTGAGGCAACAGGGATCGGAGTGAAACTATGAGTGAGGGAAGCTGGGACAGGGCTGGCTGTAAATCTATTGCTATAGTGTACTGGACGTGTGTACTGTATATGTAATACATATATACAGCACACACCTCCACTACAGCAATAGATTTACAATTCTCCCCTGCTAACATGAATAGGTTAAATCATGATCCATAGTACATAACATGTAGTTGTACTATGGAGCATTTAAAGTCACCTGTCCCTTTAAGAAAAAGTATTGGTAATTGGCATCAGCAAGTACATGTGGGGAAGTACTTGGTCTTGAAAGAGTGGTATCGGGACATCCCTAGTTATAACCCTCCGTTATACTATCCAAAACGAAACGTTTTGTCTTCAGCTCTTCTTTTAATTCTTCTGTATCAGCATGTCTGTAACACTGGTTAGGTTTATTTTACAGATGTATTATTCAAATGATGTATACTAAGTAATCAAATTAGAATGCGTTGACATTTCATTGAACTTATTCAGAAAAAAAGTAATGGAACATTTCTGCTATCCAACCAAACGAGACCAAAAATTACCTTTTAGTTACATTGAGACAAAATAAATAAATACAAAGCATATAAAATATATTTGACATTTGTTTATATATATTGTTCACTTCATTGACTTCTTTTTTATTGCTGAACTAATTTAAATGGTACAATGAGAGCTTCAGTGTATATTGCTGTTGACTATGCACAGTGATGGCTTTACTTGATACAAAACACATTCATTACAAATGTGACAGAACACAACACCAATACAGGTCAAGCGAAAAGTCAGTCACAAGAAAAACAAAAAGAGTTTATAAAATGCATATATCTGTGGGCGAGCACACAGTCTGTGCATACAAAGCCCATTTTATCAGAGGACTAGCTGCAGATGATAGAGCAGACATACTTGTGCTGCTCCACTAGCTTTTTATCTCAGTCATAGACATCCTCAGGCACTTGACAAATGAGGTAATGAAAGCTTACTACCATTCTTTTTTCACAACTTAACAGAATGGTAGACTGGTAACTAGCAGTCACGAGGCCAACTTGATGTGCATAGGAAGGTTATTGGAAGGAAGCCATTTTGGTAAGTTCTCTTTTCATCTCTGCATATTGTTCCCTCAGTCGCTGCACTGCTTTACGCTGCTCATCATCAACTGCCAACCGCCTTTGTTCCTGCTCCTTCAGAAAAACTTCCCACTCTGTACGAAGTTTCTCATTCCCAGCTTTCTCTGCAGTGCTCTGCAAATCAAAGAGGTAACATGGCATCAAATATGTGATAATGTTTACAGATGAAGCTAAAGAACTATGGTGTAGTCTGCAGAGGTCCAGGAGCTTGCTGTGCTGCTGGATTAAGACTTGCTGAACATAAGTGATAAACCCTTTGGCAGGTAAAACATTTGTATTGTATATATTCGGGCAATGTAAAAAGCACTTGGCCTGGAGAGGTCAGTTTAAAAACCGTCTCTAACATATGCAGTTCAACAAAGTACAGTATACCGATTATACTCATCCAAATGAACAGAGCTGTTTAAGGTTGGCTTCACACCTATGCGCCGTGGTAATAGGTGCATTTACCACTTGCTGACCGCGTTGTTTACACCCCCTTCCTGGCCAGGCCATTTTTTCAGTATTCAGCGCTGTGGTACTTTTACTGACATTTATTCCCTCATGCAACGCTGTACTGAAAATTCATTTATATATTTTTTGGGGGACAGACAGAGCTTTCTTTTGGTGGTATTTAATCACCACATTGCCTTGTGATGTGCGGGATCCCTTGTGCGTGCCTTTAAGGAGGTTGGGATTCCTCCTGACAAACCTGCACCCAATTTAATCTTTTGCCCCATGTGCTCCAAGATGGAGACTCTCATAGTTTAGAGTTAGGACCGCACTATATGGAGGTGCCTTGACGCGGCTGTGCGGCTTTCACATCTTCTGCAGATGTGTATCTAAACCTCAGCTTTTAGCCTTAGTGGTGAGACAAGTTTTTTTTGCATACTGGCTGGTTAGTGTGCTGGGAATTTTTTTTGCCGTTTGTACTGTATTAGGCAAATGTGAAGCCTTAAAATTGGGCGAAATCGCAAAAAACTTCCATACCCAAAATTGGCCACAGGCGACTCTTTAAAAGCTTTTACCGCTCATCAGTTTAGTGTTATCAGTGATTGATGGCCCTAGTATTATTGCTCTCACTGCGACGTTCGTGGCAATAAGTAACAAGTGCTGCGTAATTGGCGCAATCGTCATTTTTGCGCGTAGGCGCACCTAACGCATTTTTGCGCATCTATGGGTGGGTGGGGGGACTTTTAAAAAAATGTGTGGGTTTTTTTGTGTGTGTTTAAATTGTATTTATTTTGTGACCAAATGTTTTACACACTTAACGTTATTGTTATCACATAGATGGATAACAATCCCCCTATGTGATATCAAATTACAGTGACAGGTCCCCTTTATGGATATCATGGGTCTCTAAGACCCCTAATGTCACCTAGGGAACCCCAGAGAAGCTGATGAAGCACAGATCTGCTTCATATGCTTCTCTCCGGTTTCTGTACCGGAGAGTGACAGGGAAATGCGGAAGTGATGTAATACACATCACTTCCTGTATTCAGAGACCGGGGAGAAGAGCGGAGGGAGATCGTGTACTGATTCTCAGAGCACGGAGCCACATCGCCCATCCCGGATCGGACGCCTGGGATCTTGGGGACGACGGCGGGGACAGCGACCACGAGGAGAGGTAGGGGGGTGTGCACAGAGTCATGCAACATACAAGCGATCGGGCGTGTATGCAGACGCCTGACTGCTTGTATGTAAATGGCCAAAGCTGGCTGTTTAAAACCCTGGCGGTTTCAGTGATCGCTGAGTGTTTGTAGATAATTGATGACATAGCATGTTGCCTATATCCTCAATTATGAATGAATGGGAAGTGATCTGCATCACCTCCTGTTCATTCATGATTATGGTTATAGTAAACATACTCTGTCCACAAGTTATGAATGAACAGGAACACTCAGTATAGAGGGTTCCTGTTCATTTATAACAGGGGCTGCAGAAAAAGAGATTGAGGACTTTGTGTTCTCAATCTCTTTTTCCATTTTAAAAGGGAAATATCAGGGGTTTAGACCCCTAATATTTCCCCAAAGCCCCAAATAGTAAAGTCAAAAATAAAAATATTTAATAAAAAACATGAATAAAAATAATTTAAAAAGTTAATAAAAAATAAAATATTTAAAACATTTTGAGAAAGTTAAAATACATTTTTTTTTGGTCTGACATTTTTTTAATTTCAGTTTCGTTTTTCAAATTTTCATATTCGGTGCACCTCTAATGAATAGCCATTTGTTCTTCCTTTTCACCTGTTATAATGTCTAAATTATAGCAGAAGCTATAAATTTAGACATATACGGTTCATCACCTTCTCAACACTTGCTTCTCAACTGTCCTGTAGGAGGTGCCTGGACCGGAGTGACGTCACGTTCTGGCTCCCAGGACAGGGCACGCAAGGGAGTTGTGCAAGCAATGCACATATGGATGGAACTCCGTCACAGCACAGCAGCCCACACTGGACCCCAGGCTGAGGATCCACTCCAATTCTCGTAAGGTAGGGAGACTGGGTGGTTCTTAAAAAATATATACAGGTGGTATCTCGGTTCGCAAACAGGAAGTTTGAAATTTTTTTCCTTCCGGTTGTGATCTCCGCATTGGGTGGTGAACACAACCACATCCAACTTCCCTGCTCTGACACATGGTCGTGGCTTCCTCTAGTCGAGATCACTGTCTGATCACAGTTTGATTCAAATTAAGACCAGAATCATAGAACGAATTAAGTACAGAGGTACCACTGTATATTTTTTGGGGGAGTGTATGTGTATATGACAGTGTCTGTGGTTGTGTGTGAGATTGTCAGGGCCACAAATATAATGAAGTGGCCCCATGGGATTGTGTCATCCCCTGCACCCACTTAATTCAATTAAATTATTATTTTAATCCAACAATAGTTTTAGTCACGATAAGGTACAGTCTTCTGGAATTTTCCGTTGGGCTGTTTCTGGTTTCCCATTTTGTCTGTTTCCAGGTGCCCTTAATAGTGTCATGTCAATTCTGCCTGGAGATGGCTGTCGCTAGGAAGATCTTTGGAAATAAGGTGGTCGTGATTAGTTACCTAAGTTTTGGAGGGAAAAGTAAACAACCAATCAGTTGTGGGACTCACCTTTAAATGTTTACGGTCAGAAGCTCTCTTCAGCAGTGATCGTCTGCAACACAACTTGCCCCACCCTCCCTCCCTTGTCGCGGCTATCCTTTTTGGGGGTATTGTCGCCCACATATGTGGGTGGACAGTGTTAATGTTATATTGGACTGGTGATGAGTATGGCTCGAGTCTGGGTGACTGAGCTACTTTATGTTAACTGGTTTTAAAAGTTCATTCGTATATATATTAGTGTTGTTGAATTTAAATAAAGAATTTATATTTTGCTGTTAACCCCAATAAAGGGCCGCGGCCAATATTTTCCACTCATATCGTTTGTATAGTTTTTATTTATTCTGTCATATATTTTAATGTATTTATAGGTTGTGGGTGCGGTGGGGTTCTACAATCCCATGTGTCTGTCAGTGTTCTTGAGGGCCCGTTCACACTAGTAAAGTGCGAACTAGAACAGTCCTGTGCGATTAACGCACTGTACCATGCAATCGCACCAACTACGCGTTCTGGTGTGGGAGGTGTGTTCTATTGCCATTTATTTGAATGGCACCTCAAATGCACCTCCCGCCCACACTTCATTCGCGCGGTACTTAATGCTTAATGACCAAGGACAAATGTGGGTCCCTAGGTTACACAGGTTGAGAACCACTGCTCAAAACTATATATGCATACAAATACTGCCAGGGTTAAACATAAAACAAAATGACACTGCCTATTGCTTGTCCTTTGTAACACAGATTTTCACGCTGCAGAAACTGTTAGTTCTAGGGTTTTAATAAGCAATATTTTCAAAATGCCTAAATGTCTGATTTGGTTTCTAAAAAAGCAGGGTCGATGGATGATGCAGTCCTTTCCAGAGCTATTTTGTGCTCTGACCTTTCTAAGCATGTTCCCCTATTTTCCTGTAAACAGAGAGGCACTGTGTGAGCAGCTCCTATGGGCTTTCACCACTCTAGCCTTGGCCACAGAGTGGAGACCACTGTTGATTTTTAGTGGGAGTGTATAGGTCACAGTGGTTTCCAGCTCTTGATGTGAACACAAACAAGTACGGTTTAATCTTCTTAGTGTAAAGAATAAAATATACCCATCACTTCACGAAAGCAGTTTTGGCAGCTCCACAACACCTCTAAAAAGGTTACCAAAGTAAATTTACAGAACTGAAAAAAGCAAAAAGGGCTTTAAACTAAATGTTGTGTGTCAAGACTTTTCCAAGGAATCAAGTATCTAAAATATATGCAGTAAGTAAAATATATATTTTCTTTTCCTTGCAATGACAGAGCAGCTAATAAGCAGCCTAGTGTCTGATGCTGGGCTTGTGTTTTGTTCTGCTCTTATGCATTTTATTGTTTGATACCATACATTTCATACAGCCCTGGCATTGTCTCAAGTGAGTAGCAATGTGTTTTCTTGACTTGTTTTCTGAACGCCACTTTCTAATAATTAATGGGTCGATTTAATTATCATTTTTGACTGTAGTGATGAAAAATGTCGAAGGAGCAGGATGGAAAATGTTTCTCAAATGAACAAAATTCTAACAGTGAGTGTGATTTTCATTTGGGAAATCGCATTCATTCCAAAATAGAATGTTAAAATCAAAACAACATTTTGAACGACATTTGCCAAGTCTCTGATAACAATATCGAATGTTCTGATGAGATTCGCACAAAAATCTTCTAGTCTATGGGCATCTTTAGACTTACTCATCTATAATACACTAAGGATGAAGAGTCAAAAATATGACTCTTCATGAGGGCACCATGGACTTTTTTTTTTTTTTCCCCTCAGAAAGGGATTTTTTTTCTTCTGGGCCAGTTTAGATGCAAATATTGCTCTCAAAGTCCTGCACCAAATATTGCCCAATATACAACTAGCGGAAAGGCTTCATTTAAAAAAAAAATCTCACCACAATTATAATATTCTATGAACAGAGACTGTGGCGAGCGCCATTTTGGTTTTGTAGACAATGTGGTCTTTGCAGTTACATGATAAAGTTGCAAGATATCAGTGATCCACGGCATAGTTTTGAGCAAATAAACTTTCTGAC